GGCCCGGGTCCCGCCCAGCGCCGGTGGGCGGCCGCCCCCAGCGCCCCCCGTCCCCGAGGTCCGCCGTGGGCCCGCGGCCCTCCCTCCCTCCCTGGGTTTTCCTCCTACCCGGGGCAAACACGCATTTCGGGCCGAATCCTTCCCTGGCCGCCCCTGCCCCCCGAGATGCCTATATTCTCTGGCAGGGTGCTGCCAGGGGAGGGGGTTATTTTCAGCGTCGAGGCGGCGATAATTTATTCGCAGCCACTGGGACGTAGTTGCAGTGACAAAGGAGGGTCTCCAGATCAGTCTGAAAGCGTGAGCACCGCCGAGAGGCCCCCCGCGGAGCAAACGCCTCCCCGCATGTCCCTGGAGGGCTCAGCCCGGTCTCCCAACTCCTCACACCTCCACTTCGCCCGCAGCTCGGTCTGGGCCAAAAACCGGAGAGTTTGGGGCGGGACAGTGCGAGCGGGGGTGCGCGGTCCCTGCCCGACGGCTCGGGGCTGCGGAGCGGGGCCGGGCGGTTTTGGGGGGGGGGGGGCCGGCCAGAGACGCTGAACGCACTGGGCTTCTCAGGCTTGCTTGGGTTTATTTGGTTGGGTGGGGGTTTTTTTTTGTTTTGTTTTGTTTTTAAATACGACAGGCTTTAAAGTATCCTTCTCGGCCCCGCCAGTACTGAAGGTAATGAAGGCCCCTGCCCGCAGCATCTCCGGCCGCCCACGACAGACCCGGTTTCCACGGCGGGGCCTTTTTTTTCCCCGGTCCGAGAGGGGCCCCTTGCCCTGCCCCAGCCCCGCACCGCTCCGTGCGTGAACTGCTCGTCTCACCTTGACTTGGCTCTCCGTCATCCCCAGCGAATAGGCCAGCCGGGCTCGCTCCGGGCCCGCCAGGTATTTCGTCTGCTCGAAAGTCTTTTCCAGGGCGAAAATCTGCTGGCCAGAAAAAGTGGGTCTGGTATGTTTTCTCTTTCCGTCCTTATCCAGCAAAATTGAGCCTTGATCTGGCGGGGGGGGAGAGAAAGGGAAGGCAGGGACAGACACGTTAATCTACGGATTTGGGAAAGTGCTTCGCTCCCAAGCGGCCCTGGGGGACGGGGACGGGGGGGGTGTCTCTCCGCGGGGGGGTCTGTAACAAAACTTCTGCCTGGGGAACGCGGCGGCGCCGGCCTCCCGGCTCCCCCGGTTTATTTTTCCGTTAAGGATCGAAAATCGGAGCGGGCAAACGGCAGTGTTTTCTAGAAAAGCTGCGGCCAGTGCAAGCGGGCGGAAACGGAAAGTCCCGCTCGGGGAAAGTTTGTGCGCGCCCCTAAAACCAGCCCCGGCCCCGGGAGTCCCCGGCGGGGACGGCGAAGCCGGCGGCAGCGCGGCCGCCTTCCCCCGAGAGGGCTCCTCTTTTCGCCGACCGTTTACAGGGTTTCGCGCCGCCCGAGGGGGGAAGGAGAAAGCAAAGCAAACTTAGGAAACAAAAAGAAAGTGAGGCAAAGCCAGTCCCCTCGGCCACGGCCGGGGCCGGGGAGGCCCGGGAGGGTCTCGCCGGGCCGCGGGGGCTTCCCCAGCAGCGGGAGCGAACTGCCGGCGCGGCTCCCCGGGCCCGTTCCCCCCGCCGCCCCGCGACGCTGGGTACTCACGGGGGGCGCAGGCGAGGCGGGCGTCCCTCCAGGGCGGGCTCTGCATCACCCCCGGCCAGAAGATGGGCGTCCGGCCGGGCAGCTCGGCCAGCGGCTTGGGGTAGCGCCCGGC